AAGCAGACCGTGCACGCGCCCAGTTTCCGGGCGAGGAGGGCGCGAAGCTTCAGGGCTGGGCCCAGCTTCATTCCCATTGGGCCGGTCAGGTGGTCCTCCGAGAGAAGGGGCAACGCTGCTCCATCGATCCGGTGCTCGCGGAAATTCTGGAAAAGAGGGGTGGAACGGATTCGTTAGTTTTTTGGAGATCTTGATTTCTTCACGAGGGAAGGAAATTTAACGTGGACGATGTTTGTCGATGTTTGGATGGACGTGTGAGGTGTATATGAAATGTTTATCATGGAACTTTAGTTATATTTTTTTTTTAATTACAGGTAAAGGATTGCAAGAGATGTATTTTGTTGGTCGGAATGAAATCAATGTATTTTTGAAACTGTAGTCTTTACTCGATCAAATTTATTAGTTTTAATGATCTTTTCACAACGAGATTTAAATATATTTTTATAAAACTTCATTTTAGAGTGAAGAAATTCTTCGAATGCAGCTTCTCGAATATCGAATGTATTATTTTTTAATGTAAATAGAAACAACAAGTGATAATAAGATTGGTGAAATATCTGGTGATGAGTTAAGATTTCATATTTTGATTCAACTAATTTTTGTAGAGTGATTTCCGATGGTATGCGATCGTTATCATGCAGAATTATTTCTTAATTAATTTCTTGGCAATAGGATGTTGCTGTTACGGTATCTCCTTGTTTCAGAAAAGAACAATGAATTATTCCCTTTACAAATCATCATATAGTCTTATCCATAACTTTTTCGATCATAATGATGATTTAGAATTTTATTTAGGATTTTCATTGGCATCCAATCATTGTCCAGATCATTGTACGATTATCGTATAGTATCCATTTCTCATCACAGATTATAATTCTATTCAAGAATGGACTATTGTTTCGAGCTTTATGCAATAATACTTCTAAACTTTTGATTCTCTATCAGTTGGTGCAATATCTTCCTCCTATTTTTTCTACTTTATCCATTGCATCCAAATGTCATTTAGAGATAATTCTGCGAATTTTTGTGGCTTTCAATTTATCTTTGTTCAATATAGATTTTCAGACCTTATATTTTTAAAAACATATAATCTCTGAAAGCTAACCTAATATACTTCAATTGCACTGCTTAAACTAACTTAAACTCATATAAAAATAATAATATTCTAAATTCCTTCACTTCTCAAAAAAAAAAACAGTTAAACTTACATACAAAAAAGAACTTATTACAAAAATGAAATAAATAAAAGAACAATATCAAAATATACTGAACAAACTATAAGTTAAGTAACATTACCTTACAAGTCTCGATTGATCGATCATTTGTCCTAAAACAATTGGCAATTTCATAATACAACCTAAATATAATTTATCTAATGTTAAGAAGTTATCTGATACGTGAAAGTTAAATGCGAATCTAAGTTTAAACAAGACGTCCAATAATATCCAAAAAAAAAAGAAGAAGAAACACCCGACCAATTAAAGCGATTCATCCCACTCTTCCTGCTCATTCACAAAGCGTTAACAATGACACCCACGCGAATCACCCACCGCTTGTCTCTGAATCACGCGAGCCCACGCGTATATTCCTGAATCGCGTGACGTGACCCCCGACCCGGCTCGAAGGTCGCCCGTTCCTCGCGGGATCTCTAGGCGGACGGCGTCCTCACCGGCGTGGAACGCCGCGGCGCTCCCTCATTAAACCTCCGTTCCGCAAAAAGTCGCTACGAGCTACCCGCTACCCGAGGATAGAATCGTGGCGAGGAGGCGGAACGCGAGGAAGGAGGCGGAAGAAGAAGAGGAGGAGGAGCAGGAGGAGGAGGAGCAGGAGGAGGAGGAGGAGGAATGAAAAAAAGAAGAAGAGAAAAAAGGATGGACGTTTCATTCACGGAGGCCGCCGCACGATCCCCGTAATTGCCGCTGCAACCGGCGCGCGATTTACCCCCGCTTGCGCGCGGCCACTCACTCACACTACGCCGTACTACGATTCGTTGCCGTGCGCGCGCGCGCTTTCTTGCAGAGAAATACGTTGATCGCTCGATTATGAATGAAATATTCAACGTTCTAACGCGATCTCCGCACGCGAACCACGGGCAGACCGGTCTTCGTCCTCGTGCATCCTCTTTGAATCGTTCTCTGATCTTCTCAAACGAGATCTGGGATCATCGGGTGTAAATCGAGGTTTCGATACGAGGTATGTTTGAAGTTTAGCATTTTGTATGACTTTCTTTCTTCTTTTTTTTTTTTTTTTTTTTTTTGATATTTTGGTTTTGATTCTCGTTTTCTGATTTCTGAGCGGAGTTGGGATGGGTTGCTTTGGAATGTGTGAAATGCGAATGATGGTTTTGGTAAAGGTGTTTGATGGAGGTAGATGGAGGGCGAAGAGTAATGATGGTTTCAGGTGGTTTCGTAATGGTAAGGTTTCAGATGTTGGGTATGCGAAATTATCGTGCAGATATATGTATTGCGATATAAATGGACTCTGGACGTATTTCAGATTAATTTTTTCTTTCCTCCATGTTGTTCGTCGTGTTCATCGTCGTGTAGATATTAGAAACGTTTGGTACCATATGATACCTATGAATTCAGATAAAAATAATTTTAATCTATTTAATATCCTTAATTAACAAAGTTTAAGAATAAAGCAATTGGAATTATTACATTGTACATTACAAAAGACGCATAACCTTACGATCTTCGTCAGATTACGTCATTGTTCTTCTTTACCGACGATATACCTTATTCACAAAAAAATATCAGAAAATTTCTGCTTACATATCTTCTGCTTTAATTCCAACTTTCAAAAGATATTAACCATCGCATAATTTCCTACAATTCTAGCCTCCAGCATCCCGGCCCGCGTTCTTAACACAGTCACAACAAGGCGAGCAAACGGATCTCGAAACTTATTCCTCTTCAGCCGGCTTGCTGACTAATTACAAGAAGAGGACAAGAAGGAGGATCAACGAACTTGCACAAATTATCCCGTGCCGCGATTCTCGCTTTACACGCCGTTTACTCGCGTGAACCTCGCGGCACTGCTAATTATCCCGTTTCTCCCTTGCAGCTGACACCAGTGGTCGCGCGAGAAACGGCCACGAGGAACACAGGGCCATCTATCACGCGCCGACACGGCCGACATTGTTTCGAATTTCCGATAGCGACGCTAACGGTACACGAACGCGATCGAGCGTAAGAATGGAAGCTACTTTCATCTACCGCTCTTTTCACGTTAAACGTTAATTAACCGAGTAGTTAGCTGGAAGAAGATGAAAAACACAGGTCATGACATCGTTGTTCAACACGAGTGAGAAGATCTTTTCACGCTTCTTTACGTACGATGGCTTTTTGCGCCTAAGGGGTCAGAAATAAAAAAAAGAAAAAAGAGAGACTTTGAGAAAGATCTTTTTTTTAAAGGTTTATGAATTTTACGGGATATGTATAATTTAAAATCGAAGATTTGATTTGAATTTATAAAGTTTAAAGATTGGTAAAAGTTTAACAAGAAGGAGTAATTTCGTGGACGATTGTATTTACTACAACATTCGTTGGAATCGAGGATTTATGATAATTGCTGTAATTCATTAGCATACTGAAGCTAGGAGAGGTTGGAAATTCTTTTTTTAAAGACGGCATAATCCATATTTCCGTGCATTAATTGCTAATGTTTTTTTCTATCTTTTGAATTCAATGATAGGGATAAATAAAAAATGGCAGAAGAAAAAATTGAATTAATAAGGAAGCTACTTTTCAATCTTCCTAACTTTTTCTCGTGAAATAATAAAATCTAATACAATCTTCATCATCCCTCGAGGTACATTCATAAAAATACTACATTACCAACAGAAATTAGCTAACGAAAACTGCATCTGCATTACCAACCGCGACTCATGTGAACTAAACTCTGAAATTATTTTGTTATTAAATCTTATATACGCACATATATATCAGACTCAGGCGAGACAAAATTATAACGCGTATCCTCTATGTGCACCGTATTCCTTCCAAAATGGATGCCTGCGTTGTGTTTTTGCCATACGTTTAAAGATCGTAGAGAAATCGTCGAGCTGTATCGAGATTGTTGCTACAAGAAAAAGGCGTATTTTTATTATATAAATTGCCATACGGAATAGAACGTTGCTACGGAAGGGTAGGCTTCTGCTCGAGATCTCTTAGCTGATTATTATGAATTACCACTCTGAAATCAGGGTATCAATTATGCCTGTGAGCCGTGGCGCCCCCAAGTAGCACGAAATTATAGTGCACGATGTCTCCTCGTTGATCGAACCGGGGCTTTTTGCGGTATGCAACGCTTGCGTGGAAATCGTCGAGGTGTGCGCGTCAAGGAGTACGTTCTATTTCATTAAAATGTATTTAGGATAAAATGTTGCACCCGGAACAAGGGTACATTTCTTTGATCCGTTGATGAGCACGAATTAAAACCAATGTTTTTTGCACGTCTTGCCACTAAAGGATTACATGATTGAGGTTAGGTTTCGTTACACTGCAAATATCTCGTGATAGAAATTCCTTAATGTAAAAGAGACTTTTCTTTCACGGATTTAGAGAAGAATTTTCGAGAACTAATGTTAATTTTAGAATAAGAAACATTTTTTTTTTCTTTTAACAAATAAATTTTAACTTCGCTGAGAAACAAATTCTAAATTCGATGAAGAAATTTCGTCGAAGGAAGACGATTTCTTCGCGTTAATAATCTAAGAGAGAAGAAAGAGACGGGAGGAAATGACTCATAAAAAGGTTTCGAGGACAAGTTGACAGGAGGTCCTTCCCAGGGGCACACGTTCAAGATGGCGGGATCCACGGGGATCTCATCTCGGCGCATACATCTCATTGTCTTCGAGGAGGGATACAAGGCAGAAGTTTCGTAATCTCACAAAACCTCGAGCCAACAGCGGTGTTTGTGTGGTGCAGCTGCAGTTGCAGAGAATATATCATCCTCGTGTTGCACCGCGGGCGACCGCGGCCCTCCAAAGGCCCAGCCACGAAGACAACCTATATTTTCTCCACCCAGTTCCAAACTCTTAAGGGCAAACGCGATCCCAGACTGGGTCCAGCATCAATTATACCTTCCACAAACACGCTCTTATCTCTCGCGCTTGCCAGACAGCGCGAAATTCGAGCGTGCAAGCTCCGAAGGGCGTGTTTAATGATTTTTCTACGTTATTGTACCACGGAAAAGATATTTAGATCCGAGTTTTACAGGCGATAATGAATAACGCTCTATCGATAAAGAATTTTCAAGAAAAAGTAATCGATAATGTATCGTTGGAATATGTATTAAAATTAAAAGTATAACCTGTAATGATAAAAGTTTCTAAAATTAAAAATATATAAAATGGCTGAGATTCTTCTAACGCCTTTTTTAAATAAAAATCTTAAATTTTTCAACCGTGTATTTTATCACAGCTCACAGTTCATCATCAACTTCACGTTTCGAATATGCTTGAAATTTTTGTTCGCCTCAGAATGACTCTTTCTGAAAAAAATAAATTCCTCCCAGGCGAACAACTAAATAAACCGCATCGTTCCATGTTGAACGCGATTCGAACAACGATCGATCGCGAGCTATCGAAGCGGACACGGGAATTCTTTCCAGCCTGTGGATCCGCAGAAAGTGTTGGTCGAGCGTGAAAAGGATCGGAGGTTCCTCGAAAAATAACGGCTCGTTCGTTTCTTGCCAAGTTCGAATTCCTGACCCCGAAGGATCTCGAAGCCGCGGTTATAACCTCGGAAGAGCACCGACTCGGAACAACGTCACGTTAGCCGGTCGCGATGGGGCCCCGTGGAATCTTTCCTCTCGGTCGATCGGTTTCTCTATAGGGAAAAACAGCCGGTGGAAGTAGCCGAGTCCGTTGCAAAATCGAACCGAGGCCAGGAACGAATTTATGGAATGTAGCTAGAGCGTTGCTTCGTCGCGTTTTATACCTTCGTTCTTCCGTTCGTCTCGAGCTCTGATCTTTCTTGGATTTCCTTTAACTTAAATTAAGGTTAAACGCGTAAAAAGAGTGGTGCACTTTTACTACGTGCTTTTATTTATTTTATTTATTTTATTTTTGCAGTAACGTGTAAAAATGTTTTTAATTGGCATTGGATCACTAATTTTTCAATTAATCGATCTAGTTTCTTTTTTTTGATCGAACTTGAAGCAAATTAATTATACAACATTGAAGATTGAAGAAAAGATTTGAGGTTATGTTAATATTGTAGAAATTTGCACATATGAAAAGAATGTAATATAAATAGAACATTAAATTAAATAAAATACTTTAGACAACGTTATTTCGTTTTAATTTATCTGGTAAAATAATTTGTTACAATGTTATAAGCAATTTTCAATAAGAATTACGAGCCAGTTTTTAATATATCATTTTTTTTCCCCGCAAACAAAATTTAACACTTCGACATCGATAATGTTTATTTACGACGCGAAAAATACTTCCTTTAATTATTCGATGGTTCTAAATCATCCTCCATCAGGTGTACAGTGTTCTTCGAGGTAGGTCCGTAATAAAAGTCACGACTATGACATCATGAAATCTCGTCACTACAGCTGTTGCGTAACGACAATGACGAGTTAATGAGAAGAACACTTTACGATATATGAAAAATTCCACGCTGGTTAACCGTTGACAAGTGACAAGATAGCCATGGCGAGTATAATTGAGAAAGAGGAACAAAGATTTAATATCTCCTATAATTAAATATAATTTTCAAAGGATCACGGATTAATATTTTATCAATTCATCAAGGAGTATTGAAATTTCTTTTATTTCTTCTTTTTTTTCCTTATTATACACTTTTCAAACAAAAAGATACTACGTTTAAAATTTTCTCTATCCATATATATCTCTTTAAATTATACACACCGTATATACGTATATAATTTTAGAAGCTGATTATTATAATAATTTTAAATATTCTTCATTATTTTACAAATTATTTTACAAATATAGACATGAAACCTGATATATATCATATATCACGTACATATTCAAGATAAAAATAAAATAATAACTATAATTTCCACATAACCTAATACAGTTGTCAATCCCCTAGCGGACAATCAACGAACTAATCTGCACACTTGGAAGGAAATTCTCGTGACATTTATAACCGAGGACAGGAACAGGTGTTCGACACAAGGAACAAAATATAAGGAACAGACACAAATCTGGGACATACGAGGCGAAAAACGTTGCATACGCTGTTATAACTTTTGTTTACGCTATTGCATCCAGCTGGTGCATTTGCTTCGAGCTGTTATGCACCTTATATGGCGTTGCAGTATGCAAAACACGATGTGAAATGAACTAGGATGAACGGATGCTCGGAATTTACGTTTATGACTCTCTGTCAAGTTATATCATTACTGTATATACAGCTGATTCACTTTGTAAAAACGAATAACGTTTGTACGTATTTTAATTCTTCTTTAACTTATTCTCCAACTTTTTAACAGATATTTCCGTTATCTCGTACGCGTGGAATTCCTTGTTTTCGTTAGATTTTTACTGAAAAAATTGAATCCGAATTAGATCTGACATTGAATTTTTGAACTAACTTTTATTTCTAATTTCGCATATTTCTCGAAAATATATCGATGTATCGAGAAAAATGAATAATCTTAAGTAAGATAATAAAAACTATCGGTATTTGATTCTTTCAAAATACTCAAAATAACAAAAATATTTCGTATTTCAAAGTTGATCGCGATACGAGATAAAATAGTTTTGGTGTAAAATATTTAGCCGACAATTTGTTAACGTTATCTTTGCGCATAGTTCGACGTTACGTTTTAGCCTTGTGTCGAAGATTCCATGCGTGCGGAGAAATCGTAAATTCGTGCGGAATTCCTTTATGTAACGATTCTCAGATGCTAAGTTCGACCGACGGAATTTGTGTCGAACAGGTATCTGAAATTCCGGTCACCTTCCACCTTTCGTTAATCGCGACCTTTATCTTGCTAGTCACTCGCGATAGAGGGAGTACCGCGCTCCCTGACCCTTGTTAATATTCAACGTCTCTATGAAAAACTCTTCGTTTTCCATAGATTCCCTTTCTCTTCTATATCTATAAAAATAAAATGGAAAAATAGAATATGCGCAGAAGCCATACATTCAAAAAATACATAAAATAACAATTGAACAATTACAAAATTCCAATTCTCAAACGAATAAGTAATATATATTCCCTTTCAACTAATTTTATCAATCAATTCCTAATCATACTCGAATATTTTAATAATCTTTCCTCCAAAATCTAAATCTCATTAAAGTTGCCTAAAAATTCTCTCGATCGCCCGAATAATTTAAACATTTATCTTCCGAGAACAAAATTTCAAGCTCGATCTACACGATCTACAAATACTCTCAAACATCGAATTACTAATATATTATCAATGACAGAGAACGGATTCCCTGGATCGAATCACGCAAGAAATTCCTACGGTAAACTTGCGATCGGTGGCTACGCCACTGTGCACCAGCGAGCAA